AGGTGTCGTCGTTTTGTGTTGGCTCCTGCGGCTCGAACAATCTCAGTCTGAACCCCGTTCACGCAGCCTTTTCGCTACCCGGCTCGCCTGGTAACCTTGTCGTCGACTATCCAGAAGGCTTCAACGTGACCAACGCGACTGAAGCGGCGGCGGCTTCGTCGGCCAGCTCGAGCCAAGCAGCTGCAACGGCGACGGCAAGTAGCTCGTCCCTCGTCAGCTATCTGCGTACCACGCCGACTCCAGGAACTCGCAACGTCAATCATCCCCCCTATGCCATCAAAAATGTACAGGGCGACCTTGGTGTTCACGCCGTCAGCCCAAACGCCACGCATTTCAACGGCGTTGAAGAATATGACGTCCACAATCTGTATGGACTTCAGATCCTTAACGCCACGTACCACGGCCTGCTCGATGTTCATCCGGGGAGACGTCCGTTTATCATAGGACGATCGACTTTTGCTGGGAGCGGTCGACAAGCGGGTCATTGGGGCGGCGATAACTACAGCCGTTTCGCGTACATGTATTTTGGCATCCCGCAGGCGCTGACTTTTGCGCTGTATGGCATTCCAATGTTCGGCACCGACACATGCGGCTTCAACGGCAACAGCGGTCTCGACTTGTGCGCACGTTGGATGCAGCTCAACGCCTTCATGCCCTTTTACCGCAACCACAACGTTTACGCCGCAGTGCCGCAGGAGCCGTACCGCTGGGCTACAGTCGCCGAGGCCGCGCGCCGCGCCATGGCCGTCCGTTATGCCCTGCTGCCGTACATGTATTCCCTCTTCCGCTCTGCCCACTCGAGTGGAGACACGGTCCTGCGTGCCCTGGCATGGGAGTTCTCCACCGATCCTACTCTTGCTGCCGTCGATACGCAATTTCTGCTGGGCCCAGCGGTCATGGTCGTCCCCGTCCTCGCACCCAACGCCAACCAGACTGCGGGCGTCTTTCCTGGTGTTGCCCAGGGCACCCGCTGGTTCGACTGGTATAGTGGGACGGAAGTAGTTGCGAAGCCCGGCGAGAACAAGACGCTGGATGCTCCAACGACGCATGTTCCCGTATTCGTGCGTGGTGGCCATGTCCTTCCTCTACAGGAGGCGCTACGGACGACAGCAGCAGCGCGGCAGTCTCCCTGGAGCTTGCTCATTGCGCTGGACAGCAGCGGTGAGGCGAGGGGTTCGCTGTATCTGGACGATGGGGAGAGCGTGGCCCCGAACGCCACGCTGAACGTAGTATTTGTAGTGGCTGGGGGACGGTTGAGCGTGTCTGCTTTCGGCGAGTGGGAGGACAGAAATACGTTGAAGGAGGTCAAGCTGTGGGGCCTGCAACAGGAACCGGAAACGGTGAAATTCGGCAAGACCGAGCTGAAAGATGATGGAAAGACGTGGGATAAGGAGAATGGTGTACTAGTTTTGACGGGACTCGGTGACGTGATGGGTAATGGGACGGCTGCGTGGAAGAAAGACTGGGTGTTGAGCTGGCAGTAGCGGCGAGGCCGCAAAATTCCCGAACTTGGGCGTAGAGAGAGAGAGAGACGTGGTGGCGATGAGACGTGGAATCTAGTTGAGACAATGAATTCCTCGAAAAGGCTCCAAAGGTGATGATCCACGTGGCCATGGCCCAAAATCATACAGCTTGAGCGTCGATCGAATTCAACTCGCTGGAGCGGCAAAATGATGACGCGGAGCTTTGCAAAGTGATAGTGTGGGTCATGTGCGGGAGCTCTTCAAGACAGCGGATTTCTAGCCGGACTCTGCAAGCGTACCTAGTCATTTGACAATCATGCCTGTTTTTGAGACGTAACCAGCGGGCTCCAATGTTGTTGCGGCGCGTTGCTCTGGTACCTGGCAGACGGACGGGTTGGTGACCAGATCAGGCAAGAGGGAGCCGGAAGGACGAGGGATTCAAAAGTCGCCGCGAATCTCGAGCAGCACCAAGCTCAGTCGGCAAGAACCGCAGAAACAAAAAGAAAAAAATGGCAAGATCTTTTCTTTCAGGCCAGGTTTAACTCGCCGCGTGAGCTGGCCGCACCTCAAAGGGCCCTGGTTGATGGGGAAAGCGATCAAATCGGTTCAGGCCAAAACGTTGGAAGGGCTATGGCTCCTTCCAAGTCGAGACGCCTTCCGGCGCCATGGCTGGCAGAGGCTGGCATGACCAAGTCATCAGCGACAGAGGTAGATGTTTCCTGGGCGCCGAGAGTGAGAGATCAAAGCGAGGATTTTTGAGTTGCAAAAGGTGAGGTTTGCGGAGAGGTCGTGACCGAGGGAGGACCCGTCATTCATGGGGATTCTTGGGTGGGTGGCCTCAAGCACGAGGCGATAATGTGGAGGAGTTCGATTCTGCGAGTCCCGAGCAGGAAAGGAGCATGGCGATGGTTTTTGGGAGAATTCACGAGGTGGTGGGTGGAGTGGGAGGACTTAGTCAGTCAGTCACTTCCCTCGTCTTGTTCGGCGCGTGTGCCGCTAGCGTTTGCCTGCATGGGATTAGCGTCAATAGCTCTATGGAAGTACTCGGTCGACGGTCAACTGTTCTTTTTTCAAAACCAACGTCACCTCTACTCGCTCCCACCACATTCTTCCTCTCGACCGACCGCGCGCGAGGCCGAGTCAACTCGAGTCTTACCTTACCAACCGCCCGGTCGCCATGCCATGTCTTTTGCTCAGCCACCAAATTTGGGTTCCCTGCGACGCCGTTGTTTGCAACTGCCGAGCACTGCTCTCCCACGCGATTGACAGCGCCGGCGCCCCTCAGGCAGTCATGCGAACATATCGCCTTGGTCCGGCCCGCTGCGAAGAGTCTGGGGAAGACGCGCACGCGGATGACCGACTCCATGCTAGCTCTGCTCATGGCATGCGATTTGCAGCCCTACAATTGGAAGAGCCTTATGCCGCCCCTCGCCGCCGCGACAAGGAGCAATTGCTGGCCCCAGCCTTCTCCTTTCGGCACGCGCCTGGCCTTGTTCTTCTTGGCTGCCCATGCGCTGACGTCTTCTGCTCCTGACGACGCTCCAAACCTGCCAAATACTCTCCGCCCTTGTCCATGATTCACCTACGCCTGGCTGGCCTTTTGATTCAGATGATTGAGCCGGACTGACTTTGTCCTCCCATTTCCTTCAGCTCCTAGCCCTCCGCTGCCTAGTGTGCCCGCATCTTGTGATTTTGTCTCATCTCATCTAGTGTCTAAACGGCATCAATATAAAGCCTCAGTCCAGCTTGCTGATTTCCTCCGTTTCAATCTCTCATCATGCCAGCAAGCAACGCAGTCAAGAAGCTATTTGGCTGTTTTGGGAGCTCCTCGAAGAAACTAGCCAAGGTTCCTCCCGTTCCCACCAACCGCCCTGTACCAGCGAGCCCAAGCGAAAAACAGGCCGCACCCGCAGTCAATCTTTCCAATAAGCCCAACATGGCCAACGCTACTGCCACCACCTTTGATATTGGCATTGTCAACAAAACAAACTCGAGCACTGTCTATGCCTACATCACCGGAAGAGCCCTCGACAACAATAATTCTCTCTTTTTACTCCAGTCCGACGGCAAGACGGCCTATTATCCAACCTCTCCGTCGAATACACAGACTGCCCTCAGTCAAAATTGCTCAATTCCGCTTGGGGCCCCGGGAAGCACAACTACTGTGACTATTCCACACCTAGCTGGCGCACGCATTTGGTTCTGCATCGGCGAGGAATTGACTTTCTTGCTCAACCCAGGTCCGGCCCTGGTCGAGCCCTCCGTCACCAACCCCACCGATCCAAGCATCAGAAAGCGCTGGGACTTTGCCGAGTTCACGTGGAACACCACCGAGCTGTATGCCAACATCACTTATGTTGATTTTGTTTCCATTCCAATCGCCTTGGACTTTGAAAATACCTCGGGTGCCACATCGCACGTCGCTGGCATGGACCAAAACGGCCTCGACGCTGTTTGCTCCGGTCTACAGGCTCAAAGTGCTTCCGATGGCCAAGGATGGTCCAGTCTCATTGTCAAAGCGTCTGATGGAAGCAACCTTCGAGCACTGTCTCCCAACGACGGCATCATCACCAACAGCTCTCTCTTTAGCGGTTACTACGATTCTTATGTCGACGCCGTCTGGAACAAGTACTCGTCAGACACCCTGAACGTCGACACACAAGCCAGCTATGGAGTTCTTGCCGGCAAGGTCAGCAACGGCGTCTTGACTGTCGGATCCGAGACCTTTGCCAAACCCTCTGCCGCCGACATTTTCAGGTACGTCGACACAAAATACTCTGTTTATGCACAAGACTAATTTCTCCACAGTAACTCCACCGGACCTTTTGCCAACCCTTCCGGCTCCGTCGAGCGCAACGCCATCATCCCGCGCCTGGCAGCAGCCTTCAACCGCAGCACGTTCCTCGTCGACACGAACACGCCTGCGGCCAGCACCAGCGACTACTACACCAACCCTGTCACGAACCACTACTCCCGCATCGTCCACGATGCTAACCTCGACAAGAGAGGTTACGCGTTCCCGTACGACGATGTCGCGCCCAGCGGCGGTTCTGACCAGAGCGGCGCTGTGTATGGCGCCCCAAAGACGTTTACCGTCACCGTCGGCGGCAATGGGGCTACGGCGTAGGCATCCAATGTCCGGCGTTAGATTGATGGGGTTGGGAGATGGGTAGGACTTGTCTTTGTAGATGGATCTGTCGCGGAAGGAGAGATAACGGTCTGTACATACGCACCACTTGCTTTTGGATTTGTTTTGGATGGGACATCCGACTTAACAGGGTCATGGGGTAGACGGACCGGTGGCACATTCATGTCCTCATGTCTTCACACACGCACGTACGTGCATATGCTGTATATCCACCACCTGCTGTATCTCAAGACATGTATACATGACTTACAAACAACGCCTGCTTCCGAAATTGCGTCATAGCCTCACTCGTCCTGCCTGTCTACTTTTGCCATATCAATCAAGACCCAACTTGCACCCTACATATACCCCACCGATCCCTGCTTTCCCAACAACAGCAAAAACATCCATCCATCGTGGTGTAGTGGTCTAGCATTCCAGACTCTCACACAGCCAAAGCGCCCCGTCTAGCCGCATGTGGGCATCGACTAGCAGAGCGTGGCAAGCTCACTGATTTCTGGAGACCCGAGTTCGATTCTTGGCGATGGAACAATGATTTGTTTTTGTGGGTGCGTTGCTTCTTCTTCTTCTTCTTCTTCTTCTTCTTCTTCTTCTTGTTTTGCTTTTGTGGTGTCTTCGGTTTTGTGATATGCAGAATCGGGATGAGTAGGTCTGGGTATTGAAGTGAGCTTTTTGGTTTCTGCGAGGGGCTTTTTTTTTTTTTTTTTTTCTTTTTTGTGTTGGCGATGATGGCCGGCGTGCTTGTTGTTTTTGGGTGCTGCTGGCTGGGGGTCACTGACTCCCCTGCTTATTTTGGTTGTGCGTGGGTTCGTTCCTGTGGTGGATGGAGGAGGCAAGGCGGCGACACCATGACAGGACAGTACCTACATGTACCCAAGTGGTTTTTTTAGGCATGCCCTGCGTACCTCCTGTATGCTTTACTCCTGCCAGACCACCTATCCGTCGGTGTGCCATGTACGAGCATCTCCAATCCACCTCGTTACCTGTCTGCCTTCTCCCTTTCCTTCCCAAAAGCAAATTCCCATCACTCACTGCCGGAAAAGGCAGTCAGTCCTGATCAAGTAATCTTCACTGCCAAAAGAGACGAAATGCAAAGGCTCCTGAGAAGCTTTTCGCTCACTCAGCATTGAGCCGTACTACTGTGGACAAGGAAAAAGATGATTATTCATGACCGAGCACCTCATGGTGATCAGTGAAGCAAAGCAGCAAGCCTCGCCCTGTCGCAACAACAAATACGCAACACAAAGGGGATACACGTTAGTAAAGGACGCAAGGAGAAACAAGATGAATGGAAAAAAAGGGGCCACAATCCATTGACGTCGGGGGATGCATGGTCGACTGTAATGTGTGATGGTGGAACAGCAGCAGCAGCCCTCGTCACGTGACAACTGAATCATCCGAATGTTCCCGCCTCAGGAGGACTTGCAGTACAAGCAAGCAAAGGAAATGAAAAGGAAGAAAACCTGCCGCAGCATTAAAAACGCCAGTGGTGTCCTTGACTGTCCAGTCCGCCCCGCTCGCTATACGTGCGCCTGCTGCCATGCCCGAATTACCTACCTACCTACCTGATATGTACGTGCGCTCAATCACCCAGCACGCTTTCTTGCTCGCCCTCGCCCTCGCCTTCACCCTCTGGGCCGTCGTCCGCCATCTCCTCGTCTTCGTGCACCTCCAGCTCGCGCTGGCGCGTCTCTTCCTCCTCCCTCTCCCTCTCGGCCTCTTCGTCGTCTTCGTCTTCGCTGACGACCCTCTCGGCGCTCTTTGCAGCCGCCTGCTGCTTCGTCGAACCGCCTCGGCCAGCGTTTGGGGGAGCACTGCTTGTCGCTCTGCTCTTGGCTCTGCCTTTGCTCGCCGCTGATGACTTCTTGCTCTTCTCGCCGTGGCCCGCCTCCAGGTACGCCACGACTTCTTTGAAGTTGTTGCCCAAGCGGTTTTTGTTTCGCTCCAGACGGCGGCGGATGGGACCAGTCGAATTGTATCCCGCCTCGCCCATCTCGTCCTCGTCTGTCCACTCGTTGTCAAGCCCATTTTTCGACGGCTTGCCATCCAATACCCCCGCCACGATGGCAAGGACGAATTTGGCTGCGAGTTCGCACAGACGCTGCTCAGCTAGCAATGCTTCGCCAGCCTTGATCATTTGCCTCTGCTCAGACTCATCTTCCTCGTCGGATTCCTCGTCGTCACTTGATTCGGGCTCGTCCTCAATGTCAGCAGGCTCGTCATCCTCTGCAGGACCAATAAGGCTTTTGCCCGCCTTTTTGGCAAAAGCACGCTCGGCGGCGCCAAGGACTTGCAGCAGACTTTTCTGTTTCGGGGCTGGTACCTTCAGGACAAGCGCCAAGAAGTCATCGGTGTCCTGGTTTTCATCTTGCTGCCCAGCTGCATGGTCACCGTTGCCATTGGTCTGAGCATTCTCTCTCTTCTGCCTCTCGATCTCGCGCTTCTCGTCTCTTGCAGCGCGCGCCGATCTGAGTGATGAGAAAGCCGTGAACAAGTCGAGGGTAATTCCTGCAGCCGTGAGGCGGACTTCGTCTGCACCTTGGCGTTCGCGGAGGACTTCCTCAAGAGCGGAATTGAACGCGTCGCGACGGATGGCAATAGCTTCTACATCGTCGTCTGGGACAGAACCTATTGAGGTATCCTTGACTAGGACCTCCCAGTAACGTATCTTCCACAGGAAATAGAACATTAGAGACTGGGCCGCATTGACCGCAATGACATCTTCAGTGGCCGACTGAGCGGTGGAAGTGTCAGAGCTGGGCACGCCGCGGCGAACAAGATCAATGAGGATGGTGATAGCGTCAGAAGCTTCGGCAGGTTGGCTGCTATTGCATTTCGTCTTCTTAGGCGTGATCGCGGGTGGTGCTTCAAGGGGCTCGACGCAGTCGGATATGCTCGCAAGCTTCGATATGCGAAGAACGGTGTTTGAAACGGCGGAGAGAACATTGTCGCTAAGGTTGCCTCTTTGTGAAAGCGGTTTGCCCTTATGCAATGCATGAAGCGCTGCCACCGTGTCTTCCCACAGCACCTGTAGCTTCCCTTCGGTGATTTCACCAAGCTCTTCGTAACTCTTCGCGTGCAATAGCGCTCGACTTGCCTCCACAAGGACTGCTTCGTTGCCGTGGCTCATGAATTGCTTGTTGATATCGTCGAGTAGCTGACTGTAGGTCGTGCTGTCCTGGCGCAGCTCCTGGAACACCTCTAGGTTGAGGACATGCTCCAAGCGAAGCACAGCAGAGGCTGCGTCGGGCACGGCGCCAAACTTGTTGAGTAGTTGTGGTATCAGAACGGCCAAGTGTCGAGCGGCAACCTCTTGCTCATCCTGCAAGCTTTCTTTTTGCGCCTTGGTGAGCTTGGACTTTTGGTTGTGAGGTTTGCCGGCTTCCATTGTGTGCGTTAACCGCATTTTTACCGACGCATTCAAAATGTCAAGTAGAATAATCTCGTCCTTCTCGGTGAGCTTGCACAATAGCTTGAATGCAGATTCGGGGTCTTCTGTTGCGCCATTGGTCTGGGCACCACCTGAACTCTGGGAATGATCATACAGAAGATATCCGGCAATGACCTCCCACTTCTGGAGCTCTGGTAGCGTGTCGTAGAGTGCCTCGGCAGCAATTTGGATGCGCGATTCCACTCCGGCGGCGACCATGACATGGCTGTTGACGAATCGATCAATCTGACTCGGTAGGCTTTCGTCGCTTTCATCGTAGACCTGCAAGTTTTCTACCAAGGACTTAAGCCTCAGCCACTCAAGCCTCGGATTTTCATAGTCGTCGTCATTATCGACAGTGACCAAAGCCTCATCAAGGGCCTCTTGGCCTCCCAGCTCGTCAACGTTGGCATCGTACACGACTTCAATGTTCGATGCCACGAATCCCACCACGGCTTTTCTCACGCGCGGTTCAACATCGAAGATCAGGCGGCCAATGCTGTCGATATCGGAGGGCTCAAGAAGACCGACGTCAAGGAGGATGTGGAGCAATTCGACGGTCGCGGCGCGAACACTTGGATCTGCATCCTGGGTAGCCATCTCAACCATCCTCGGGCGGAACCTCTCTGTGAAGGTCTTCAGGCCACCAAGTTTATCCGAGTCCTTGAACATTCCTTGCAACTGCTTCACCACCTCCAATCTCGTGGCGGCTGATACATCTGAAAGAACCCAGCCAAGGTATCGAATATGGTTGCCATCGAAGAAGAGGTCTGGGAAAGTGTTGATCCAGTCACTCAGACCTTGGACGCACTCCAGCCGTATCCTAGGGTCAACGTCGCGGTAACGGTGGACAAAGACGGTGTCGAACCAATCCCTGATGATGGCCTCCAGTTTCTCTTGCTGCTCAATCGCCTGCTTGCTCTTCTGATCAAGCTCGGCCACTCTGCCCTTGTTGTTTTTGTTGCGCCTGGCCTCGGATTCCTTTTGGCGTATCGCCCTCGAATTCTTCTCGACAAGTTTCTTTCCTACCTCACAAAGCGCGCTAATGATGGCAGTGGAAATGGCAGTTGCAGTATGACGAAAGGGCCGACTCTTTCCCGAAGACATGGTGCTGAGCCAGATGTGGATGTTCTCCATGATCTCGGGGCTGTTGTACATCATTTCGGACTCGGCCAGTGTTTCGACAAGTGAGCTAAAGAAGCCGACCATGTTGTGGCGAAAGTTTGCAGTACCTCTGCCTTTTGCGATCAATGGATAGTCAACGTTGTTTTGCTGATAGACTGTCAGACCACAACCTCACCCCACGTTGACCCATTTACTCACAGCTTGGTATTCCTCTTGTATGTCATTCAGCTTGCTGTCACAGTTGTCGGGGTCCTCCATGTCGTGGTCATCGACCTTGGAATCGCATCCAGCGCACCTGAGGACGAAGTTTATGAGCTCCGCAAGCTCGCGCGAGTTGTGATCGTTGAATCGGTGCAACCAGCGCGCCGCCACATCGTTAAGGTTGTCCCCGCTCGCAAAGACATCAGCTAAAATTAAACAGTCAGCGCCGGCGCAAGCAAAAGGCTCTTCTTGGAGGCGTACCGTAGAGACCACCGACTTCCTCGGCAGCCGCAATCTTGCTCGGGCGCGGCTTTTTCGCCTTCTTTTGTTTCCCAGCTGGCCTTATCGCCAGGCTAAGCTCTCCGTTAGGCTTGCTCTTTTTCGCAGCAGGCTTCTTTTGCGGCTTGTTCTTTCGGGCCGCGACCTTCTTTCGCCTCTTTTCGCGAATCTCCTCCTCGTCTGGCTCGTCCTCGCTGCTCTCTTCGTCTTCCTCCTCCTCGTCCAACGCGTTGTCTGCGTCGGCGCCTTCATCATCATCGCCCTCGTCAGCTTCGTTGCGCTTGCGCTTGGAGGGCGCGGGCGCAGAAGAGTAAATTGTCTCGGGTTTCTTAGTCACGCGTCCGGACTTGCGGCGACTGCCGGCGGTGGTGGTGTCAGCTGGGGCTTGCGCGTCGACTTCCGGCGAAGAGGGCTCCATGCTGGAGAGACGCGCTGGCATGGAACCGGAAGAGGAGCTGTTGGCGGTTGGCTGCGTCGAGTTTCCGGGCGCAAAC